AATTTATTCTTGACATTTGAGTCAATTTCTAGGATTAAAGACTCCTGATCTTTCGTCAAAAATTTCATAATTCCGCTCAAAACGATCCCAGAACAATGAATTTGCGAGACGAACAGGCCGCCATGAATCAGGTAAAACAATATGTTACATGCAATTTGATTGGTCCAATCGCTTGTAGTTAACCAATCGCTGGGCCGTTTATAATCGAGCTAAGACTTCCGCAACAAATAATGCCTTCAGTGATCTGATTAGTTGAAGCTTTCATACACGTCCAATCGCAGGGCTGTTTACAAACGGAAAACGGAGAGACTGTTCGGGAGAGCTCGTGAAAACTTGACGATAAGGTACCTGACCGCCCCTAAAATTTTCTCAACGGATTTAGACGATTCACAAAAATGATCAATTTAAGAAATAAAACGGCGGATTTCCGCGGATCCGCGGAAAATTGCCATGTATGATAGCTGCATGAATAAACACTAGCTGGAGAGAGCTTAAAAGGCCTCGAAACCTTTGCTCCATCACTGGCGCTGAATCCCCAGTGCTCCTGTTAAACCCAGCGACTCCGGGCGCGCGATCACCGCGAGCGTAGAACACACTTTGCTGTGTCGCAGAGACCACTTGCAGTCGCAAGCTCCAAAGCGTTACGGCGATAACTCTTGTGATTCCTTTTTAATTACCCAGTTCAAACATCTCCGACACCCGTGCCCGTATCGCACGCCTCTCAAAACGCGTACCATATTTGGAGGTGATAAAATGGAATCATAAAAATAAATCAAACGGAATACGACAAAGTGCTTTCAGACGGTGCCTTAATCCTTCCAAGTAATATCACCGTATTCAGACATAACATGGCAGGAATGGCACTGGAAAAAGAAAAAGGCAGCCTGGTATTTAAAGGTTTGCGTCCGGGTTGCCGTGGCGTGTAGATCAGCCGCTGGGACGCAAGTTAATTGCCCCCTTACTCAAATGCCACCCCCTTCACGCAGAGTGCAGATAGGGAAGCAGAGGCATCAAATTAAAAGCTTTGTGTTCCGCCTCTCGGAAAATGCCAAATTGTGCATAGGGGAATCCAAGAAGGGCTTATTTAGAAAGTGTCAGAAAAGTGGGAGCTCACACGTGAATTAGCCCCTTCAAACGGTGTGAAAAGGAGGCCGCGTGGAGTAACGTGCTCACTGCTTGAGCGACATAGCACCTCAAACCTACAAACAGTAGTTCTAGATGTTGTATTTCGTCAGAAAACCCGAGGTCCTTTCAGCTACCGAGTGTTGTTTCATTCAAAAGCATCCATTTGAAAATATACAATTCTTAGCAGGCGGATACATTTTAATGACGAGACCAGGATGCCAAATATTTCCAATTCACCTTCACCCGGAATTGTTAAGGCATGAAAAAATGAAAAAGGCTCGAATTCACGATCAGCTTTTAAATTGCATTTCATTTTTGTCGAGTAGAGCGTTAAGGGCTTGTTTCATTCAAGATACGGAATTCATCAACCCAAAGCCTGAGTTGTTTAGAATTTCAGATTAATTTTCAATGACATTTTCATATCGCTATGACCTTATTAATCTTGTCAGGCGCTTTATTCCATTGGCGTTTTTTTGGACACGTCAGGTCTTTACGTCGAATCAAAGTATTTTGCTTGTGAATCAAACTTGACGTTAAAGTCTGTAAACCAGGGTCAAAGGCGACCAAAATGTATCACTTCCTCCGAACAGACAGCTTTTCAAAATGCCCCAAGGATAAATTGAGGAGGAGTTAGCAGTTTCCTTTTCGAGCCTCGCTAATATTTGCAGTTTGGAAGGGGGGGCTGGTTCTGTGTCATGCAAATGATCGACACCTTGCTTCCTTCCCTGTCGGGTTTTCAGCCCAATGGTGAGAGGAGCGACTATGATGTCAACATGAGCAAGTGGCAAAATGGCCGCCCCCCCCGCCCCCCTGAGATGGCTCAAAACGGGTGAATGTTGCCGCTTAATTCATATTCATGACAAATAGTTGAACATATTGCAAAACTATGGACTTGATTTCTCCTTTCAAAAAAAAATTCGGGACCAGGTGGCTCACAAAGGATTTCGTGGCTGGATTTTTAAATGTAATGGCATGACGACGCTCACGGAATCTCATGTGTTCATTTCATGCAAATGGAAAACCAGGCGTGAGTCGCGTACTTGTCGATGAATCCCATTTTCCTAAACCAACAACATCGGATTTGATGGCGCTAACATGACAACACAAGCGGGAGCGCATGAATAAAAAGGTTATTTCCTAAAGTATCGCCAAAGCATGATTCAGAATGACAGAAATAACCCGGCCTCCCTCCAATTCCGTCAGCTACCACTTCAATTATTCAAGTTCAACCGCGGAGAGAAGTGGCCCACTTTCAACAGGATATCAACAGATGCCACAAACACAACCAGCCGCTACAAAAGGCAGTGAGGGCATTTTCGCCTCCGCTCTTCACAAGCCCTTGATTACATCTTGCGAGGGTCAAGAAGCAACGGCAACGCAGGCCTCGGTCACTTGACATCGACACTTTCAATTCCAGCACACGCGAAAGGCGTATTTATTTTACGTGGAGGCGGTATCTTGAAAAAAATCCGGCGATGGCACCTCCCTACGTCGTGAAAATTCAGGCTTCTGATGGTTGTCAGTGAATTTAGATGCTAAAGTCATCAAAACAAAAAATGGAATGATCTCGATCCTGTTTTATTAAATACAGATTAAAGAGCAAAAGGTTCGTCTGACGCCCTGTAACGATGTAAAGCAAAATAGTATGCAAAAAGGGGAGGTCATTTCGCATAAGCGTGAGTAGTTTTCAGCGGGGTTGGGGCTTAAACTGTGCGACCAAATGTGAGCGGCGCATGCTGTGCTAGCAGTCAACGGGGGTGGTCTTGATCAGAGCCAAAGTTAAGCGTCCAGGCTGGGCCATCTGGGAGCTGACGCCACTGACTGGTACAAATCATGCCCACGGAAAGAGGACAACCGCCGCTGAGATGACATTTTAAAATAGGAATTGAAAGATATTCCTTAATGATGCCTCGGGGGAAATTCAAGTGTAGCAGTAGCATGATAATAATAATCATAATAATAACACATTGAACAAACAAATACAATATTCCTGTTTTTATAAATATAAGAAAACATCGGAAAGATTTTCCACGCCAACGCATTTTAAAGTTATTTCCTGCATTGGCTGTTAATAAAATGGAGATATTTTAGTGTCGCACTGACCTCGCTTGTCGAAAGAATGCGTCAGGTCATCCTCCTTGATGTCCGTGTGCCCTCCGTAGCCGATGCCAACGCCGTAGTCCTCCTGGATCAACCCGTCGCTCACTTTGTCGTGCAGCTGATTGGGGGTGGAGTTCAGCGAGCGTACCGCCGGGTCGTCCTCGTCGCCGTCGTAATCGTCGAGGATGGGCGTCTCTCGGATGGGCACGCCGATGACGGAGCTGCCGTGCTGGTGCGCGCTCCGCGAGCCTCGGTAGCTGTCGCGGCCCTGGGGGCCGAGCAGTACCGAGGGGATGTAGTGAATCTCGTGGGTGGCCTCCGTGCTGGCGCTCTTCTGGGGGATCCTGCGACGCTTGCACCATCGGTGGCGGGTGTACAGGACCAGGGTGAAGAGGAGAATAAGCAGGAGCAGGGCAATCAGGCCTCCCTGAGGAAACAGATCAGCAATGTATCCAAATCGAAAGGTGATATATTTTTGGAACGCCAGAGAAAACGCAGAGTCAGCAGTTTAGTGGGTGCATGGAGAGAAAAAAAAAAAAAAAGCCCGTGTGGTGTGCAATGTCGTGCACATGCTACTGACTGTGCATGGGCACATACGGAAGGGAATTGGAAATAAAAACCCGCATGGGGAGGTAGTTCCTACCAACATTTAAAAATTGAATCTTCATGAGGAAAGACAAGAACAGCTCCCTTCCCACTCCCAACTCATGCCTGCGTGGATGTCCATAAATCACGCTACGCCGATAGGGAAGGCGGCCCTCGGACGACTGATGGCGCGGACAAACGCGTTCATTAATCTCCCCGTGGATGGCAGCTTTGCACACAACTACCCTCCAAGTCACACTTGGATATGTTTCGAAGAGCGACAACAACATGTTTGCGTGGCCACAGCACATGCATGCATACTAATGAAGTGACAGAAAAAAAAAATTGTCACAGTAAACACACACACACAAAAAAAAAAACCAAACAAACATCAAACCAAAACAAGTCGTTTGTACTTTGAGTGAGACACAGCGCTTGCTTGCCACGGTTTAATTTTAGCTGTCATTCTGTCTGAGAGCAGATGAGTAATGAGCTTTGTGCTCCCTCATAACTTACTTGCAGCGCAATTTCCTGTTCAGCCTTCGATTCATTTCTTTACTTTACTTTCATTACAGGATGAATACGGTCCACATTTGTTCTTCCGCGACTCCATTCGAACAGAAAGTCAAATTAAGGGGACGGCTGTTGGCTTCGCTCATCTTCCAAGCCCCCCCAGTTTGAAAGAGAAGTCACGTATTTTTTTTTTTTTAAATCAACTTGATTTACATCTTGAAATAAACAGAAGATGTTCGTTTAAGATTGACAACAATCGAGGGCTAAAATCGTGCCAGAGGTGTCCTTGCTGATGGCGCAAAATGACTGCATGAAACTAAGATGCCAAGGGCTAGAATTTCTTTTCACTGATTTACATATCAGTATTGACAACACGAGTGTGATTGGTTTGTTTGCTGATTCGGAATAGCACAAAAAAAAAAAAACAACCTCTCTCGAAAAGGGGCATTCTCTGTTCCGCTCTTATGGTGCAACGTAATCCGAAAGTGCACGCAAGTGACTAATCTACTTTAATGCAGCCGTGAAAACATAATTGCCGTCAATAATCGTATGAGAACCACGTCTCGGCGATAAATATAAAACAATCCAATGAAAAACTAAGCACGGCCACGCTGCTCAAACTGGTTCATCATCTGGCGTGTGTCACCTTGAAATGTTCTACTTTTCTAAATCGGTCGGTACGGTCGTGCGCCATCCCAAATGATGAGGCAGAAATGGTCATCACCGATTGGGTAGAACAGGACATCTCCAGCCGCAATATCTATTGCTTCTTCACATTGTGCCGTCCTTCATGTGCCCCGCGGAGATGAATTTTCCTGCAGCTGCGTTTGGCAACGGCGGTAAGCGATCGATGTGTTGATAGAACACCAGAAGAGGAAGCGGCAGGACAGCTCCTCGCAAACGCTCTTGTCAAACTTTAATTCACACCGTGGGACCACATTGCTTTGTTGCCGAGGAGCCGCCAGTCAACAAGCGACGGCAGAGCAGCGTCGACGGTCGCACCGTGCCTGCCGTCTCTGCGTGAGAAAGTAAAAACTGCAGAATGTGGGGTGAATCACCAGCAAATCCTACCGAAAATATCCACAGTGTAAATGAACCGAAAATACAACAGGCCCCAAGTTGTGTAAAACATCAGAGGGTTCAATTCTGCTTCTTCTTGGGGTGTTTTCGGACATTTCTTGAAGATGCTAGCCACTAATGCTGCAGTCGCGGGCCACATTGGAGTTACGTCGTCCCTCGGAGGACCGAATAAATGTTTATGTCATCATTTACTTGACCGCAATGACCGAAATCACTGAAGTCGACTAACTGGTTGTTGTTTGCTCAGTTATTGTTCAGGTGAGTGTAAACGGGGTAACGGAATTATTGCAAAATTTGAACATTATTGATTCTACATGACAATTTTAGCAAGGCTCATGGGAGGTGACACACATGATTTGCTTTTGCGGGCCACATGAAATGACGTGGCGGGCCGGATCTGGCCCCCGGGCCTTGACTTTGACACCTGTGCTCAAGGCAGAGAAGGTGATGATGTAGGCCGAAATAGGAGGCGGGGGGAGACACTAAATGTTGATTTGAAATCTGAATCAAGCAGTGATCATTTTGTGAATCTTAATGCCAAATTGTCACAATACAAAAAAAAAAAAAAAATGCAAATTAGGATTGTTCACCGGTAGCTGTTGATTTTTATTTATTTTTTTCCCCCTCCGCCACCCCAAAAGCAATCACGGTTCTCTCAAACCCTCTTAACTCCATAATGGGTTGGAATTTTAATGCTCAAATATTGATTCTCCCCATGCCCTTTCTTAATTGACCCTTTGTCACCGCCGGAGAAAACTTGACTTTTATATGCGTAGCCGTGATATTCCCTCATGATCCAAATGCTGCGATTTATGCAGCAACGCGCGTCGAAACAGAGCACAACGCGCTGTTGTTTGGTCACCATCTGGCCACAATGGAGACTCGCCGCCAGCGTCTGCCCTCCTGTTTTAGAGGGAAATTGACTGGCATCGCTACATCCACCGAGGAGGTTTCGTCGATTTCTTGTTTTTTTTTGTTCTTAGTTGCACTTTCCGAGCACACGTTTCTTATGGCTGCTTCTGTTTTCTCAAGGATCAAGGAAGACGTCCAATCTTGTCCTGGGGGGGATGAAACTGCAACTGATTCGAACAGAGTTTGTTGCATTTATTTAGAATCTTTCGGGGGCCAAACCAGACGGTAGTGCAGTGTATAAATATGGATGTGGATGCGCCATGTGATTGACTGGCGAGCGGTGCAGGGTGCAGTTTACCAATAGCCAGCTGGGATATGCTACAGGCATTGCGCTGACGGTAAACACGATCAAGAAAGGATCACACCGTCTAGACTATGTTTGAATGAAGGAGACTTCCAGTCCTGTGGCATTAACGTGAATTGAATTTGTACATAAGTTGGAATGGTAAATTATGCTAAAACAGGTGCTATGTAGTAGTAGTTATGTCGTCGTAGTTCATGACTAATCTTGTATGAAAAACACTTATAGACCCCAAATATCAAGAAATCGGATTAGAAAAACATAAAAAGGTCAACTCAATATATATTTTTTTTTTTTTTTTCAATGGGTCAAATGTCCCTTTATTGAGGTGAGTCAGGCCACATGCAATATATTTTAAGATTCAAAACAAAACGTGCTTTCCATCAAAAGACCAACAAAACTAAGATGTCAATTCCACTTTGACGTGTATTTTTTGGAGGGTATAATACAGTCACAGACATGTTACGAAAACAACCGGAAGCTGTTGTAAGTGATAAACAGAATAAGGCTCCTTTAGGACTTCAGTCAAGCTGGGTATGACAAAAAATTTAGCAAGCAGGCTGTGTGACAGGAACTTGGTACAGCACCAAAAGACTCACTCGACAAATTGTCCATCCGTCCAGCCATAATCCGAAGCACTTTCACCCGAAAGCTAAATATGTCATCCTGAATATATACACAACCTTTCCTTTTTTTTTTTTCTTTTCTTCAGCTTTAAACCTGTTCCGCCAGGACCCTCACAGAGGTATGCTGGAGTGACAGGTGCCTCGGCGTCTGCTCTCTTCTCTGTGTCCAACCGCAATGACAAGCTCTGGCACTCTGGCCGAGTGTTTCCACTCTGCCAAATCACCTTGGGGAAAAGCAAGGCCGTCCATCAATCCGGCATCACGTGATCCCATTTCGCCAATTTGTTCAGCTGTTAGAAGGCGGAATGCAAACCAAAAAGAAAGGCTCTGGCGTAGATTGATGTATTACATCGGTATTTGTAAGGTAAAGTGTCTTAATGGAAGTGAAGCGATCGATCGGCGAGGCCATGCAAATCACCGGAGAAATTACACTGAGCAAAAATGCGGCGCACGAGCCCCAAATTGTGCCGCAACAGAAAAACTGAACGTAAACCCGATCCATCGACTGTGATTTTAGTCATTGTTAAATATGCCAACTTTAAAATTGGATTGAGAACACGCGGTAAGACTGGGAGAATGTTAGCATGCTTTGCTAGGTGCTTCTGCTTTGGTTAGCACAACCAAAAAGACAAAAAAAATTGGCTGATTTTAGGATTAAGGTCAAGGCTCGTCCTAGTCGTCCTTGTTTGTCGATATGTGCCCTGACTTTTGACCGTTCCGGGGTGTACATCTCCACCAAAGTAGGCTTGTCTTAAGCTTGAAGTGCACCACCACATGAGCAGCACCGGGAGGGGACTCCAATGCCCACAAAACGTACGACTGACACCACCTTGCGCTTGGGACATTATTTTCATATTGCACTAACTGCCGGCGCGCTCGTCGGTGACATTTCACAGAAAGCTGTGATTAGAAGGGCAAAGTCAATATTTATAGCGGTGTCACAAAGGGCCAATGCTCCAGCATGTTGATAACAAGGCAATAAGAGAGCCTGGACAATGAGCCCCTTGGGGTGACTTTGATTGAGAAAAAGAAAAGGGCAGCGTTTGTTATTGCAACGATACCAAATCCGGAGAATGAAGGAATACACACACCTCAAAAGGTGTTTGCGCAACGGCACACGCGATTAGCAATTTGAATTTGTGACAGATCTCCTTTGTGGTGACTTTGAGAGTGATTTATATAATTGGCTCTGCTTTTTGTTTGTGATCCGCAGGCTGCTCTGGGCGACGCCACGCTGGGCTGACCTTTAAGCGTGAGCTCATCCATGTAAGGGCAGCTGAAACTGCTTGTTAGAGTCCGAACACTTTCGTTTGAAGTTGCCATGGGAAATTTAGCAAAGTTGTCAGCTACACGTGATCAAGATCATGTATTTCTACTCGGTGAAGCAGCATGTTGCTCATCGCTTTGCAA